GGTTAAAAACGTAACGTAAAATCATTATTTAATACAATTTAATGAATCTTATATTTAATAAGAAAATTCTTGAAAGTCTTTTAAAAAATTCAGGTAACTGTTAGTGGAGTGACTCATTCTTTACTTCGTCACACCACACTTTCATTGACACGAGATTAGATCTCTTTTTTAAAGGAACCAGTTTTATTGTTTCTAGATTGAGTAACGTAATTCTTTTTTTTGTGAGAGCACCCAGTTCCCAATATTTCCAGTCACGAATCTCGTACACGGTCAAGGAGTACAGAATTCGCAAAGTAGGAAAAGAACAAACGACGAAGATGCTCCCTCGAGACGAATCGGCCTTGGATCTGCTCACTTTTTTCAGCGCGTGTAAGTACCAACATCGCATGCATTGCGGGACACGTAATGAGTTATTTGAATTATTTAAACAGCGTACACAGCCGAAACCTTCGCGCGTTTCCGTTTCGCAACGCGCGCTCATTCGACAAGAATTTTAGGGCAGCTTAACAATTCCTTCAGTTAATGTCAATACGAATCATATGCATACCGATTCTGATTAACGACTCAGCACACCGTCGATCTTTATTAAAAGTAAATAAAGACTGTCTTCGGGGTCTATGTTGACTTTAATATCTGCGATTTGCGATGGAAGAGAATGATGTTTGATACGCTGGAGAATTTGAGCATCGTCGACCCGTTGGAACGAGGAGGCGTGGTCCATCAATATAAAATAGTTAAAGATCTCGTGGATATACTGGGCCATCGGGCATTGGCGTAATCTTCGACATCGAGAAACTTGGGAATAATCGAACAGCCAGACGAGATTAGTAAAGAAATTATGGCTGCTGATGACTGCAGTCGATGCACTAAAAAAGAAGTTTCATTTGTCTTTCATTTACCCAAAGACTCGACCTCGAGTTTTTAATACATAAATTCTTTAATCTGAGATTTATTAATTTTTACAAGATCGAGAATTTTAAACAAATTATTTTTTTAATTTGTTCGATGGATACCGGTAGAGAGTCGTTTTAAAACGATCGTCGGTGAACGGAAGCAGGTGGTGTCTGGCGAAGTGGTAGCAGCCTCGCGAGAAGGCGCCACCGATCGAGAATTCGAGTTTCACTTTGCCGTATCTCGAGGGAACAGAATAGAGAGAGAAGTGGCGGAGTAGGACGTGATTCGCTGGTATTACCGCCACCGTCGCCACTCTGCGGCTTTAACTTTTTTTTAAATGTCGCCGATGGCCATGACAGGATCTATTTTTAGCTGGCACCGACGGGGGAGAGATAAGCGAGGCGGGTGGGAGGGAATAACAGGCGATAAAAGAGTACACGAGGGAATGGTCTCCGAGAGAGAATGAAAAAGCGAGACGGCCAGTAGCGTAACCGGATGGTATTTTAGCCAGGCACTTGGAAAAACACCTGTTTTAATTAACCGAACCCTCGTCTCTACTCTCCGACCCGAACGAATTTCTCCTTTCTCACGCATCCCCCACGAACGACTTCTCAATAAATGCTCGCCCGTTCGCTGCAACGTGACGTAACACTGAATTGATAAATCTCTGAAAATAGAATTTGAATGCCTTTTGTTATATAGTAGAAGCCTGCCACGACAGCACGTGGAATTTAAATAGTGTTACAATGTTATTACAGATACGATAGTAACGAGTCGTCTGTTTTTCTGATATATTTCAAAACGTGTCACCGTTGCGACAAACGTTGGCAGCGATCTGCATCAGTAATTTCTTTTACCTGAACCTCGCAGACACGCTTTTATAAATAAACAGCCGAACATATCTCTAATTCTTGATAGATTACACACAGAAAATCTGCAATTTATGAACAATGAATGTAATTAAAATAACAGCTCTTTCATTGAATAGAAATCTGAGATTTG